ATAAGCTGTTCACTTTGCAAGAGACTTTGCACTTTGTAGGGGAATTTTCCCTTAGCTTAGTGAATGAGGTGAAAATGCACTTTGCAAAACATACCCAATCATGGGTAAGGAAAACAAAAACAGTTGTTTTGCTTGCATATGATTGGATGATGGAAGTCAGCAGAGCTTCTCATTCACTAAACTAAGGAAAAACATCCCTTGCAAAGTGAACAGCCTCTTTGCCTTTGGTAAACCAAACCCAGTAACTCAATACAAAAAAAAGGCAACATTTGAAGTCATTTCAGCGTGTTGTGATCATTATTTTGAACGTATTAATTCAAATGATCTATCGTATTGTTTTGAGCAAAGGGAATTGATGCAGTGAAATAGCTAGAAAGGGCACATTTCTGTGGTTTATTCCTTGCTGCAAAATACATGAAGTGTGCTCAGTCATTTATCTAAAGATAAGATATGTCAGGCTTTGACACTGTTTTATATACAGCATATCATGACATATGAGTGTAGCATGACATATTTTATTGTGCATCAAGTGCTGGAAAGTATGTGCATTAAGCAATATGAATAAAATTAATGTTTGAAGATTTCCTTCCAACAAAAAATAAATAAATTGGTTGCAATTCACAACACTTCATTTAGAAAAAGTGTTGTAAATTGCAAGAAGGGTAAACATCTAGCATAAGCAAAGTTAACGTTCTAGTATCTATATATACATGTGAAATGGTACAGCATAAAGAGAGAGCGATGCATAACAAATATGTATAGGGTTATTTTCTGTCTGTTGAAAAAAAATTGTTTTGATTATATACTGTATATACAGTATGTCATGGTTGAAACAGGAAGTTTAGTAGCAGCGCTGTTCACATTTTTAGGCAGTTTTGATTTATTTGTCAAATTCACCTGTGACATTTTAATAAAGTTCTATAAAATAAAAGTAATCGGCGCATCAACACACCAGCTGCTGTCAGGTGACAGTACTGGATAATGATTGCTCACCATGTGCAAGCAAAATTTTAAATACTGACTGGAGGGCTGCACTGCTGTGTACAGAATGCACATAGTACACTGGCAGCCACAAAGGGGAAGGAGCGTTCGGTTAAAGGAGGGAGGAACAGCAGCAGCATGGGGGAAAGGGAGCAGATCGGTGGCGGTAATTCCATTTTCCCAAATTTACCTGGGAAAGTGAAATTACTTTAAAGCATGCATGGATGCTCCAACCACATATCCCTTTTCCACAAAAAGAATTTAAAAAAATGCACACACATTAAAGAAAAATGTTTTTTGAAGCATCTACCTTTTAATATGCACATCAGCAGAGTATACATAAATAGACCTACGGAGGGAAGAGGTAGAATTCTCAGCAGACTCCTTGACACCATCCTGTCTCAGAAAAAGACGATAGCAATCAGCCAGGTAAATCCAGCCAAGCCGATTGATTTCTCCTTCTGCCCTGGGGATCTGTAGCAAGATTAGGGAGTGCATACAGGCATATGGTTATTTCTCCATGTTATTGTAACTAAACAGATTGGGCAAAATTCCTTCGATGGCTATATGCACCTTTATGTCAGGAAGACATGAAATAGTTTAGCTGTGAACTGGTTGGCACTGGAGTTAAAAAAAAAAAAAAGAGAGTAATTTGTTTCCAGAGGCAAGGTTCATCTCATTTGTCTCCACTGATTAATTTCTCCTATTTAAAGCTAAACAGCAGACATTGATATAAAAGAAACACCAATTATGTATTCATTAAAAAATAATTAAATTGTAATTTAAGTTTCTAAATTTGTCTTGATAACTGCCTTCTTTAATCTGGAAGAGGGAAGGGCAGCATTAGTAGACAACAGGCTCTGCTGCGTTGCGCATGTGCTTACAGGAGCAGAGGAGTGACCTCAACAATGTGGTTCTGCTCCTCCATTGTCCAATCAACAAGCTGGGGATGTGTTCTTAAACAAGCTGTGCTGTATTGGGAGTAGAAAATCTGACAGTGCTGTCTAACAGGGGTGTCTGGAACACAAAAATGCCTGCATAACTACAAATCTCTTTGGTGGGTAAAATAGTTCACGCAGAGAGATTTCAACTGTGTTTACAAGTGCTTGCCTGGAGACAAGGAAAATATATTTCCCATTCATACCTATAAATATTTTAATAACTTAAATACTGGAAGGCCTTTATTTAGAATTTCAAAATGCATTTACAACGCTATAAATAAAGAAAACTTACTGAAAAACACATTTTGCAATTCATTACTACTCATTACTACTGGCTTCACATTTCATGTCCCATGAAAGAGGTTTATGACTGTCTATGTGCGACTGTGTGAGGCAGAACAGGTATACATCCTGTCAAACTGTCCTTGTGTTATGTCTGTGTGTGTGGTTTAACAAGCTTGTGTGTGTGACTAATTTGGTTTATTTGGCCATGACAACCTCTGTGAATATGAGAAAAAGGGTCTTGTTCCCAAAGTTTTATTTTTATATCATCATTTTCTTGATAAACAAGTATAATTTCCATCAGATTATAATATGTTTATATGGCCATAGTTTATATAGTACAATAACTTCTAAAGTCATATATTCATTAAGGGGTACTGGTGATAGTTGTTGTACTTTATAGAACCCTTGATGGAATGGCCCGTGGCAGACAAAAACATACATTAAACACTGTTACATTTCAGCCTTGTGAATGAGTTGTTAATTATCCATGTCATGTCTGATTATTAAACAGGGTTTCTGTTCTAATAGGCATTCTGATGGTTTTTAAACTTGAGGGTATGTGTTTTCTCTCCATATGAGAAGTGACATTAGTATGTGTTTGCTTGATATAACGTTCCTCTCCAGAATTACTTTGGCCTTCAATTATACCAACTTATATAAGTTAACTTTTTTTAGTTAGAGGCTTTCAAAAAAATAATAATAAAGAAGACTTTGATGGAAGGTCACATGACAGATCACAATAATTCAAGACATGATTCTGTTCCTTGATCTTTACACAGTTGAATGTGTGTTCATTTTAGGCTCATTCACACTGTGGTGGTACGTTAACACACATGTGTTTATGAGCGTTGTGTTAGGGCAGCCCATTTATTTAGCTGGGCATGTACCAGGGCACAACACCACAATGCACATCCATCAGTAAGGTGCTTTGGGGTGCCATTCGTAATAAACCAACTTGTTACTGCAGTGCAATAGGGTGAATAGGCCTCGATTCTAAAATTAAGCCTAAAAGAAGTTACATTTTATTATTTGTATTTCTATAGCGTCGACAATTTACTCAGTGCTTCACATAGTTGAACATTCACATCAGTCCCTGCCCTCAAGGAGCTTACAATCTAAGGTCCCTATCTCACATGCACACAGGGCCAATTTTAGACAGGAGCCAATTAACCTACCAGCATGTCTTTGGAGTGTGGGAGGAAATCGAAGTACCCGGAGGAAACCCACAAAAGCGCAAGGAGGACATGCCAACTGCTTGTAAATAGTGACCTGACCAGGATCAGAACCAGGGACTTCCACTGCTGCAAAGCAGAAGTGCTAAGCACCACGTCACTTATAATAATTAAATTGTTACAAACTGAACCATTTGAATACTTCCTATTGCTTTTATAAAGTGTAAGTTTTGTTTAGCTTTTTTTAGGTTTTTGGGGAATTTGTGCCTTGCTAGGGAGATATTCTTTCACTCACTATCTTAGAGAAATTAGATAAATCTCCCTAAAGAGAGAATTCCCATCTTTGACAGTTGTCACCAGAGCATTTGTCCCCACTGAATGATTTTTCCTTTTTCGTGCTCTCACGACAAGTCTAAAATGTAGGATTCCCACTTGCTTTCTGTCTTGGTGCTCATCAGTACAAAATAGAAAGGTTAATCTCCTCAGCTGGAATCCCAGACATCAATAAAAACTTGGCAGAATGTCTAACTCTTTCCCCACTAAATCCAAAACTAAAAAACAGGTTCTGCCCTTGCATTCACTTTCACTTGCGTTAACGAAATGAAAGCTAGAATCTGATTTTCTGCTACATGTGCAGCTTATGCACATTTCCCCCCCTAAAACAGGCCATACATTGTTAGAATTTTGGCCAATTCCTAAACAAAAATCACCCAAAATCCTAATTGTGGGTGACCTTGCTGAGACCACCTGTTTTGACTTACTTCAATGAAAAGTCAAAGGAGCTAGACGGCAAATTTTTGGCTGAACAGGGACTACAGCCCATCAGCTGCAGTCGCTATTCAGGTATTCTGAGAGCCGCAAACGACAGCAGGGGAGATTCCTCCATCCATGCTGTTTAGCGTAGATGAGGGAATCTTGCACTTTTTGTTCTCGTTCATCCCACAGACTGAACAAGAAAAAAACTATGCATGTATGGCCAGTTTGTGAGAATCTATTTCTTCTGCAGAGGCCAATCATATGAAATATGAGGGGGAAAAGTACTTTGTCACACAAGGCCACAGCTGTGAAAATAAGTCTCCCATGTCACGAGTATAATAAATGAGGGTACCTATAGACATGGGATGAGTTCATCCCAATTGAAAAATCAAACTTTTATGTCTATGGTACTTTCAGACAGCCCAGCTGACAGTTCTGTGGCTAATACTAGTCCATAGTAAACATTGTTTAATCGGTATTGTTTCCCTGCAGATAAGCCAGCTCTAGAGCTCTCATTCCATGCCTTACCCCTCCTGGACATTGGCCGCTTTCTGTAGAGTACAATGGCTGAACTTAGTCTGCTGCTGTTTTTTTCTTTTTCATGTTTATGGACCACTTAAGTATGCCTTAATGGGGAACTTTTCATATACAGAAATTTGATGGTGATTTTAGTCAGAAGCCTTTAAACTTACTAGTATGTTGTTGTGAAAGCAAACACAGACAGAACATAAAAGTAGGTTGCAGACAGTGGCCTGATGGGAGTCGGAAACTTGACATGCAATGGAGATACTTGCAACTATGTCACTGCTGTCATGGGTTAACACCACTAACCTTTCTTTGTTATTAATCTGTTCTTTTTCTACAGCCCAGTTCAATGGCAGTGAGAAGAGGCAGTCGTCGCCATCTCCAAGCATGGACAGACGCAGACAGCTGAGAGCTCCTGGAGGGGGCTTCAAACCGATAAAACACGGCAGCCCTGAACTTTGTGGTGTCTTTGGAGAGAGAGTGGATCCAAATGTTGCACTGGAGAAACAAATGTGGGTTTTAGTATGAAATTATTTCATTAACTAATAAAAGTGCTTATATAGGATTGTTTTATAAGATTTCTGTTTACTGGTCAATTCTAATTATTGTTGCAGTATTTAAAGGATAAGCCTGCCCATAAATATATTGGGTTTGGTTGGATGTTAGAATGTTTCTATCTATAAAAAGCTTTCTATGTCTGTCTGGGGTCTAGGGTCATCCAAGCTGGCTGGTTTCCTTACATGAGTATAAGTAGGTTTCCTGTCGCTAGTTGAATCTACAATCTATATAGGATAATGGCAAGCAAGCATGTAAAAATATGAGCACAATGTCTGAAAATATTTTAAGTTTACTTTTACAACTCTACAGTTGAATACTTGCTAAAGAAATGGCAAGCTCTTTTAAAACACATTTTTTAATCTAAACTCCACAAAATACCCAGATGAAATACATATATGGGAGCTGTTTAACCTGCCAAAGGATGTTTATTTCTGTCCATCCAGTCTTGAGGTTTACACAGGCAGATCACATAGCACAGCTAGCAGGATGACACCATTTGCAGTAAGGGGACTCAATGGTGTCCACTATCCACCCCTATCCACCCCTGGCCTACTGACCAGACTAATCTGTCTGCTCACTCTGCTTTCTCCACCTATCAAATCTGCCTGCAGTTCAGCTTTAAAGAGTAAATTAACACAAATATTGCCTCCTGGATTAACAAACTTTAACAAATGCCTCCATTAAAGTCCCAGGATCTACAACCAGCCATGAGCTCTAACTCCATTTGTTGCAGCAAATGTAGACCTAATCCCTCTGCTTCAGTATAATGTAGCATTATTGAAAAATACAGCAGGAAAAGTGAGACCCCCCCCCCTCTTACAGTGACCACAGCGGTGGTTGGAGCTAGGAACTCGGATGCACAGATATATATAAAGTTGGTGGGTAAATTAGTCCGCCTCTATCAAGCCAAAATATAAATATGTCTAGCTAAATCTCAGTTGTGCAGCTCTCAGTAATGCTGAAAGCAGTTAAGTATTGTATTGTGTTAGTCATCGATTAGTGCAGAAAGTTTGGAGTTTAAGCAAAACTCTTTATTTAATGCTGAAAGAATTATACATTTCTTTTTATTTCAGATGGTATCATGGATCAATTAGTCGGACAGATGCAGAGAACTTATTGAGGTTGTGCAAAGAATGTAGCTATCTTGTGCGGAACAGTCAGACAAGCAAACACGATTATTCTCTATCTCTAAAGTAAGTCACTTTTTTGGGTATGCCATCTTTCCTCAAAAATTAAGGGAAGGATGTATGTGATACGATATCCAAAATAGAACTGAAATCTATCTATCTATCTATCTATCTATCTATCTATATCCATCTATCTTCTAAAATATAATATAGAAAGTGTGTTTTTAACACAGGGCTGGTTATGAATTTGTGGAAAAGTTGTGATTTTGCCCAAAAAAAACTATAGCTGGTGCTTATGTTTTCCTAACCATGGCAGAAGAAAAAAATGCCCCTGCAGTAGTGGTATCAGTGGGAGGAAGACTACCCCACCATTCCAATGCCTCTCCATGATAATGCAGGCTCTAGTTCTACCTCTCTCCCTGCATTTTCTCTGCTGCCTACACCAACCTGCCATTGGCGGGGGAGAGACGAGAACCTTGCTTCTATCTCTCTTATCCTCCCGCAACTATTCCTGTTCCTGCTCTGGATGACATACTGCCAAAGATTCAAGCCTGGCAGCTAGAGGTCTGGTAATCATTAGTTGGTAACTCCGGCAAAAATCTGGCAAGTGTCAGCTATGATGGTTACTGCAGTCATTTGTGGTTACCCCTGCAACAATGAATGGCTTTCATTCATATACATCTTAGAACATGCCCTGTGCCAATCTTCCATTTCTTGTTTTCATCTGTGTTTGGCCGCCATCAATACCCTCTCTTGATGCCCTCACCTAGTCATTCCTGTAAAACATGATTGTTCTATATATTTTGCATTAATTGAATATGTTTGCATAGCGTGATATCCTCAAATATTAACTGTCAGGTATGAATAAGTAATCTCCCAGTTTATCCCTGCCATCTTCTATTTGGCAGAACAGACATTTGTCCCTTTTTGTCTGACACTGTCTTTTTGGTTAAATAGGGCATGTACTGTGTACAAAATAATACTTTAACATCTATTTCAAGAAAATACAAGGGGCATCAAGTGAAATGTACATTATAATAAAGCTGGACACAAGCCTTTCAGTTGTCTCCTGCTGTGTATCTGCAGCTCTGGCATACCATCAGCTGTGCCGCTGTGTGCTCAGTGGCATGCACCAGCAAGTAAAATAATGACTGGCCTGTTCATGTCATGTTTTTGCACTGCAGGCAGATATATTGGGTTCTTTTGAGCTTCAACAACAGGTTAATGTAGAGGAAAGAAGACTAAGCAAATATATACAGTGCCTAAGCTCAATTCCATGTTATGATTTTGTTCTGTAATAGATCTCCACATTCCAGTGGTAAAGAAAGGACATCAGAATGTGCTTTGCGTGCGTGCGTGTGTTTAGGTTAGTAAATCACCCCCTAGTGTCAAGCATTTGTCGCATTGTAAATGTTTTAATTAGTGTAGCCAAATAAAGGAGCTGATCTTTTATCTGTTGTAATAACTCATTGGATTTAGCACTGACACCTGGATTAGAAGTTAGGCCCAGGTTAATTGCATTGCTCCCGTATGTGTTGTAGTTCATCTCTACTGTATGACCTCTTAATTTAGCTCACAAATCCCTTGAATTATCCCTTACAAAGTTTAAAGCGCGCTTTTTCTGTGAAACCTCCCAGTGGGTTTAAGTTGGTGTTCATTTCATATTTAGATTTTCCAGATTGTAATGTATAGTGAAAGAACTTGACATTTACCTTGAGGTGCTTTCTTTGTTATTAATCTGTGTTACTAATTGTAACCTACTATTGATTGTTTTTAAACATTTCTGTGTAAGATGCAATCTGAATAAACCTGTGTTTTGGAAACATCATTGAGGTAAAGAGGCTTTCTAAATCACAAGCATATTGATCATATCTCCCTTGACCTTCTTAATAGTTCAAAGATAACGTATCAGTATGATAAATATTTAGGTGTTAATGCTATTGTTTACCCTTTTAGAAGCCTCCTCCCTTGTTTGGATATATTCTTCAGTGGGTAAGCAGCTTAAACCAAATTTATCAACAATGATAGTTATTTAGAGGCCTGGGATAAAAAATGTAGAATGCAGAAAAATCATCTGATCACTTTTGATGAGACTGCTGTGTGTGTGATGTGATATATATGTGTGTGTGTGTGTGTGTGTGTGTGTACACACACTGTATATATATATATATATTTTTTTCTTCATTTTTCAATCATTTGATAAACTGCATTGAGGCAGGAATTGTATTGCCCAGTTTCAGCTGTACAGTTGACCGACTACCGAATTCTGTTAGTCGATTGAGCTCGTGGGTGGTAGATTGCTTAGTTTCTGGTGATGACTTGCAATCATATGTGCGATTCCCAGTGGACAGAAATTGAAAATGACCGAAAATTGCTGCATGTATGGAATCTTTACATACCCGTAAATGATCATTGGCATTCACTTTTAAAGCTTTATCTCATGTTTTAGTTGTCCTTGGGCTGCCAATGATGGACTGTGGCTTCAGATAATACAAATGTGCCCCTGATAATTCATTCAGCATATATCTGGTAAAAACTTCTTACAGCCTTTTAAATCAGGCATCCTTGACACTTGTACAATATTCAGTACACAGTGAACTTTGCAACGCTTTACTTACATTTAAAGCTGTGCAATTCTGTAATTTAACTTCAGAGTTAAATTGCCTTTAGGTAAAATCTTAATATATGCAGTTTGACTGCATTCATAAAGTTGGCAGTCAAAGTAAGGTAATTTTTATTTCACCTTAACTATTAGTAGACAACATTTTTTAAATTCCTTTTTACTGCTACTGCTGTTTTTTAGTATTTATTTTTCTGGGTCATGAGGAGAAAGTAAAGTAGAAAGTGCACATTGTTGAGCTGAATAACAGGAAAGTTTGTATTGTACAACAAGTATGGTTTTGATAGTTTGCCAGAAATATTCACTTTCAACAAAGTAGAAGCTAAAGCTTAGGCAAGGTTGCCCGTCATGCTGTGATTTTTTTTAACTATCTGTTGGGATTGTCCAAATATCACTTACTAAATGGGGCCTAAAATTGCAGAGGCTGATCTGAATCTGTAACTTATTGGGCAAGGGCTTCATCTATCATGCGCTGGGAAAGTTTAAAAAAAGGTATGCTTTACACAAGGCGGCAAAGTGTCTTTTTAATTGATAAAAGTTGAAAAAGTCATGCTTGAAAGTTCAGGCAGTGTGTTAAATAGGATTTTTTTATTCAGCTACATGAGTTAAAACAAAACGAAACTTGCCAGCTGAGGGGATGAGGGCTTTTGCCATGTGTAAGCACCTCCTAGTTTGCGCTCCTCCAGCAGTTGCAGATCCACACTTGCTGATGCTGTTCCATTGTTGCCACCGCCAAGTTCTCCAGCACTTCTTCCGTTCTTCTTAGTTCAGCCATTTGGCATTCCATAATAACGTATCTCCTACTCATTGTCCTGATACCCAACTCCACTCTTGGTATCTTACTGATCCTAAAAACTCGAACTGAAAAAGCGCTTACCTTTCAGCAAACCTATTAAAGAAGAGATAATGCATATCCTATAGTAACAATCATTCACAGGCCACGATCAAATGTCTTGTGTATTATTTCTATATGTTATATGGTATTGGTAGCAGATATTTTCTTCAAAGCAGTGGAGATTTCCTTTAAAACAGGCCTAAAGCCTTACAGAACTTAACATAAGACTTGCTTGCCTTTTAAATGGCAGGACGTTTAGCAGGCTCCGTCAGAAGAAGATGTTTATGAAGAACCAGCCAATGCATGAACTCAGACATGACCCCCTTTCACAGCCATGGCCTTGCATTGAAAGCTGGACAGAGCCAAAACTAAAATCAGATAAAGCAAGCCACAGACTGGCACATGTCTCTCCTCCCATTGTTTCAGGAAGACATCTACCTTTTGTCTATATGACCAGGACCAAAAGGTTCTTTCTTGTCTGAGCTGTCTGAAGGACTGGAGTTCCAAGTTACTATCTTTGAATTGGCCTAGTTGCATGGGCCTTTTTCAGCAAGTTGGAAATTCTTTTTGTACAAGAACAAGTACTTCTAAATGTTGGACATTCTCATTTTTTGTCATTGGATCAAGGTGCAGTCTTGCCCCTTCTGTCCATATCCAAGCTAAGGATCCCAAAATGTGCAAGAATACATTGTCATGAGATTTGTGATCTTTGGCTTTTACAGGATCCTGCTGTGAGGCTGAGGGGGTGATTTACTAACCTAAACACACGCACGCACTAGGTGCGTGTAATTTTTACACAGCAAAACGTATTTATCAACCAAAAAGTCTCTTAAAGCATATTTCCACTAATGCCATATATGGAAAAACCATGCACATGATGCATATATAATACTGCTTCACAGTTTAGACAAAAATGGTTAGCTCATGCATTTACATTCCTGCATTCATCAACGCAAGCAACACAACGTAGAGCTAATTTACACAACATCACCTTGCAAATTCATGCAGGGTTTTGCACAACACACCTGCTGGGTGTGTACACACTACAAAGGTGTTTAAATTCCACCCATAGATTATGCTGGGAGGGAACACACTACAGAGGTGTATACATGTTCGTGGTGTGTTTATAAGGTTAGTAAATCAACCCCTGAGTGTCATCACTCTTGCCTAAGTGAAGCGTTTTTAAATGCAGCAGCTACTAAATTCTTGGTTTTTGAAGCAAGGTCCACTTTTAAATTCCCCTTCTCTCTTTCTCTCTCTGGAATTGTTCAGATTTAAAATAGAGATGCACCTAATCTTTCGAACACACATTTGGATTCATCATAGAAAATTACCTTTCCCACTCAGCAGTAGTGCATAACCTGATATTTTCACAGCTAAGAGGAGCCAACTCCAGCTGTTTCCTAAGAAATTGTTTCTCCACAGCTCGCTGTACCAGTAAATCTGGAGGGAATGACAGCAGTCTTAGAGCTTGTTTCAAGTTTCTGCAACTCTTCTGTGAAGGATACGCTTCACGATTGAAGTGTATATCAGTTCACAAGTTAGCTGTGTATCTTTTAGACTTGCATATTAAAGCCAAATATAGAGTGGCAACTATGTACACATATACTT